ATCAAACACAGGGAAATGTCATGAGTCGTGCTCCGTTCTGACTAGAAGGCCAGGGAGAAGAAGTGAGTTTTAGTGTTGATTTAAAAACCCTAGGGTCTGGGCCGACCTCACATGGAGGGGCAGAGTGTTCCAGAGCCTAGGAACACTATTAATCAATTTCCTTAACAAAACTCTGCCTGCTAGAGTTTTGATTGAGACAAATCCCACTAAGTTTAGATGTTTTGGGAACCCGTAGTGGTTAGAAAACAAGAACCCTCTATTACACGTGTTGAGCAATATCCTCTGTATATAAATACAAGCACATTTCTGGTTGATATTTTTAGCTGTGTGGAGTTAGGCCAATCTGAGTTAAACTGAATATTGGACAGAACACATTTGGTTTGGTCGCGTAAATTGTAGCAGGAAAACCTCAATGTTCTATCAGATAATCGTACACCGAGTCTGGGAGAGCGAGACAGTGAATGAGAGGGAGAAAGAGAGATCACGAGAGCCGTCTTTTCCGATGGAAATCACATGGTTTCAGAACTCCCCTGGCATCCAAACAAGTAAAACTGCTTTCTTTGGCAAACGCTCAGCATCTCTCTCACTCTTTCCCTCCCTCTTTCTCTCTTTCGGTCACTCTCTGCAGAACCCACACTCCTCTCATGCACACGCCCCATCCTCCCCTCCCTACTCTAATTTCGAAACTCAAACTACCTCCTTTAACCACAAACACAAACAAACTTTGAAAAAGCAGTAATATCAGTTAAAGTCTTCCCTTAATGTAAGAAATGACCACAGCAAAACAAAGAGTAGAAGAGAACCCAAAAGATTCTGAAGCCATGTTGCTTTACCTAAAGAAAAACAATCATTTGAGCTTCGCTTCGGGGCTCTTTTTGGTCAGGATGGGAAGTCTTTGGGTCTGTTCCATGTCTGAGTTGGCTGAAGCACGTGGCTCTGAGTGTGGAGCACATGGTTGGCTCAGTACTGTGAACTGCATGCTCTAAAACTCACTGATAAACAATACATTGAACAACAATAACAACCAGTTATTTTTTGGCATCAAATTAGATTATGAAGTCCGTTGCACAAGCTTTAATATTCCCTTTTTCAAAATGGCATCCACTTCCATAAATCTGGATGAATGTGGTTTCATGCTAAAAAGGGATGGCTGACTGCTAGCGGTTCAAAGAGGAGATTTGAATCCTCAGATCTGTAGTTTTGAGGTTTTGTGATAATAAGCAGAGCACTCTCTTGATTTCCTCTTCGGTTGTACTTCACTTCCCCTGCTAGCAATTAGTCTCCAGAATGCTATTTGTCAAAAGCCAAGCCATTCGTTTCCACTGGTCTGCCCCCTCCAGCTCTAGTTACAATTGACTGTTTCCTGTATAGAGAAAATTCTTAGAGGAAGGAGCAGTTGGCTAAACCAGAACATGAGTATAGAAGTCTGAATAGAGAGAATAAGACAATAAACAATAGTGTAACAAATCATACATCTGTCACAGGGATCAATTCCTGCCTCATTATTTCACGACACAGCACATTTTTGAAACATTTCACAAAGGAAACCATTTCTTTTGGACGATTGGGAGTTGGGGCAATGCAGAAAATCGGTCAATCATGGAACGAGGGCTATTGATTTTCCGAGCAAGATCTGAGGAAATGCGGGTGAAGTAAAAGTGCTGTAAACAAATACGATGAAGGAGGTTACTCGATAAAGTAATGAGAGCTGGACTGGCTGTCAGAGCCGTAAAAATGTAGTTTCACAAAACCCCCGAGGTGTAACATCTATATGGAACATTGTCATTTTCCCTCTGTTTTCCCAATGATTGCAGACGAGACAGCGGGTACTTCAGTGACTCCCAGTGAGGTAGGAACCTATTGTATCTGGGTTGTAAGGGACCTGGAGAGCCATCAAACAGCCAGACGTTTTCATGGTAAATCACCAGCAGAGAGGGAACTTCTGAGAGTGCAATTAACAACCTCAAGGTCAGACTCCTCAGGAGAGTTCGAAAAAAAAATCCTCAGGCTTTCTCTCTCTTTCTTCTCCCTTGCTGTTACACTCTGAGCTATAGACTCACATGCTCGCTCCATCTTTACCCTCTTGACCTCGTCTCCACACACATAAGTTTCCTTCACCCGTGTTACTCCCTCCACCAGCGCTCCAAGCCTCCTCCTTTTCCAGTTCACCCTCCTTGTCTCCATTACGGATAAACGTTACTTTGTGGTCGGGCGCAACACCATTTTTCCCCCCGTGCCAGAGATGGGATGAAAATCGGTCGCAGGTGTACAGGATGAGAGCTATGGATCTTAATCTGAAGGCAATAATGCCGCTGTGCACTGAGAAGGTCACTATAGGGATATTTGAGAAAGGAGCTCTGGGTTTACTTGCTCTTAAAACATGGCGAGAATTCACTTTTCCATGTTCCTGATTATGTGAGCACACTTGGGCAAATTGGGCTAAACGTTTTTTTTTTTCAAGTCTTGCTTTACAAGGGGTTTGATTTAGTGCTTGACAAAGCACAATAGATCATTGGAGCACCAGGCTTTGAAGTACTACACAAAATAATGAGATGCCAAGCACAGGTTGTTGGCCAGAAATAGGACTCCTTATTAACACAAAAAAAAGGCTTTGACTTTAAGAAGAGATGAAGTGGCTGAACTTTAACTATGAATATATTTGAAAGAATGTCAAATGTAATTGAGTTACGTTGAGCTCTTAATGTTTACAGAAACCTGAGGAAATTTTTTATTACTGAAACTAAAGGGGGCACACTTACAAACTCTGTACTTTGATCGTGATTCAAATTAGTGCCGTCCAAGATGTTTTTAATTGTTGCAAGGGCATTTACGTTACACATAACCTCAACATACCTTTTCTTCCTTACCTGGCAAGAGATGACTCAATGCCTCAGGTAGACCAACAAAGGAGAAAAGTGTGTGTAGGCAGAGCGCACCATTGAAACAACAATACAAACACTGACAGTTTCTCAGCTGGAATTCCACATCATTGAATGTTTCCAAAAGCTTTGGCTGTTTTCTTATAATGCTGTTAGTTTAGGGTACAGGATAACAATCCAAAATGAAATACATTTTTTCCCTGGTTGTTTGTATCTGTGTCGGGGGTTTTGGCTGGCAACACAATCACACTAATGACATTTAATAAAAAAATGAAATCAAAAAAAGAACCTGGCACTTTGCTGTTGGGATTTTGTGGAGAGAGACCACTTAGGTGTTTCTGAAATATTGTGTGTGTGCCTGTTAATTAGTGGGAATATGTAAAGCGTTTTAAAGGTTGTTTGTCCTATGCTGCATTTAATTGGATTCGGGCAGACGGTAGACACCGGACAATGTGCTAGTGAGAGGGAATATAAGTTGAGGCCGGCAGAGAATACCGTTAATGGTAAATGTATTGTTGTTCCAAAATAAACATGTTTAACTTTGGAGCAGCAACATCCAAATGATATGACCAGCGCTTGAAATCCAACCAAGCTATTACAAGTAGCTACATGCACTAAACATGAAATCATTTTATTGAATAGATTTTATTCCAGTCTTTAAAACATATATTTCATCACCATAGCAACATGTCGTAAGTCATGTTTCTTCATCTGACCTGATGGCTTTCTTGGTGTCAGGTGGTCTCATTAGGAGGATAAATAGGAACTTGCTTTATAAAGTGATCGTCCCTGAGCCGAGGCAACAAGTTGAATTTGTGCAAGGGCAGTGAGATGATCAATAAGCCATTCCACAATAACCATATAAATATCAATATTATGGCGATCCCCATGCAAGGATCTAATTAGAGTGGGACTGGTGTAAAACTTCTGTCTAATCCAGGTGATGGATTCAATTTAAAAAGAGATTCTTTACTCTTAATGGGAAACAAGAGAGGGCCAAATCAATGATTCATAAGCAAATAACTATTAAATGTGAAGCAGGGCTCAGGATGTGGTGATAAAGCTGCTCAAATGGGTTTTACTGTACTTTACAGCAAGTGGACATCGATTAGACTCCTCCAGCAGCATCAGGATAAGTAATAGGGAGTGATGTTCGATACCAGCACGGAGCTTTACGGTATCAGTGTTTCTCATTTAATAGTGAAAGAGTGTTGTTTCTTTATTATATGGCTCGCTGCTGCCTTGGACTGCTTCCTATTAATGTTTAATTGCCCCATGTGGCTTCAATGTGGAATATGCTGACCAGTTTACAATAACATTTGTGTGTGTGTGTGTCTGTGTAAGTGTGTGTGTATGGTCTGAAGAGACTCGCTTAACGCGTGAGAATATAGCTCATGCATTATAACCATAATAACTGTTTGTATTGGGTTAGGTTTACATGAAACGATAGCTGTTCTCCCACACACATATCAATTATTATTCTTAGTGTGTCTTTTTTGGCTATAGGGCTGCAGTTTGTCTCACTGTTTTTGTTACAGAGCAGGAAAGACATACTAGAGGCTAGCGAGGCAAGTTCCTATATTGGTTGAATCTCATGGCCTTGAGTTTAGAATTTAGGAAACCACCAGAGGCATCCCATTTAAATAACCATAACCATAATTGCCTCAGCCAGCAAAGGAAACAGCATATGATTCCTCTGAACATTTACATTCTGCAGAAAACCCCTCAATATTTAGGACAGGGACACGATTTTAGACCTACTTCCTTTTCGGAATAACAATATATCCATTCCAACATACGGACATCACTGATGTGCTGAGTCAAATGTACAGTGGCATATGATTAAATATATATGGAATGGAATAAAAGTGGCTTCCTGTCAAATTACATTCCATTCTCTGATAAAAATGGCTTCAAGGATGACACAAAAAGATGGGATGTCAGACCATATAAACTCTGTTCTATTTACGAGATGACATATCTATGTCGTAAACCTTCAGTGAACTTTGCATGTGTGATCCCAAGCCAAACTCCCTCAAAGTCAGGAATCAGACTCTCACTATCAAAGAACAGGCATGCTTGTTAACGTGCACGCGCTCACACACAGGCACACTGGCCTACCTGGCATGAGGGACATCGATGCTGGAGGACACCACTTTGCGTTTCTGCTCCAGCAGGGACACTGATCGGGTGTCGGGGTCCCGGCCAACGCGCTTTCCGTCCCCCATCCGCTGCTCGTCCACTGCCTCGGGGCTGAGGGAGCCGCCCTCACCCCGGTGACTCTCTGGAGCTCCGTTACTGAAGCAGTGCTGGAGAGGGAAAGGCAAAGAGTAGAAAGTCAGTACTTGGGCAGAGACCTGTCTTCAGTTCTTATGATGAAGCTGATCTAGGACTGCACCATGAGAAACACATTTTCTGAATTGAAAAATGCCTTATTTTGTAACTGCCAACGTGATAACCATGCCGTGCCTTTCTGCTGCAGTTATGAGAGACTGAGAAATACTGCCTAAATATGACTAAACTGCATGAAAACAATAGATGTATCATTTTCAACACAGTAGCCGTTTGGGGTTTGTGTTCTAAGCGTATGAGCCACATTTTAAGATTTTATTATTTACATTTCAAACAAAGGAGTACACTGTCCAACATGGTTTAAACATCATTTTCTAGCATCTTGGGCCTAAAAAGCTTTTCCAAAACAGATTGGTTTCACTCGAAAATTCAGATGTCAGCTAAAACAAGGTTCTTTTCTTAATTCCTAGACGTCTTGGACATGGCAAGATACTGTTGACAATTCTCCTAAAACTCCCTTCTCATAAAAAAACTAAAAATTAAATGGCATCCTTAACTTTAGCTCAATATAAGCTACAGGACATACAGCCAATCTGGTTTGTAAATTACAAATAAAATGTAATGAAGTTCACGGTAATGATGTTAAAAGGGGGGGGAGCAAGAACTTTTAACTTATAATAATATACACAAACATACTTATACACAAAACTAAATATTTCTGCGCCACACACACTGAGCAACAAACTACTCCATGACACACACACACTCAATCACGATATATCATCATTTCTCCCATCTGAAAACGCCCACCTGTAGCAATGTAAAAAAACAGCCCAAATCATCTCTTCTTCTTACACAACAGCAGCAAATGGCATGCTTTGGCACATGAATACCTGCATGCACCTACGCACACACCAACACACACATTACTGTAGGTAACTAAAGCCATCAGGCTTCTCGAAACACACTGAGAAAACAGCCAGTGACACACACGGCTGCCCATGCCACTAGAGCGTTGAGGAGTAAGACATGCAGACCAGTGTGTGTGTGTGTGTGTGTGTGTGTGTGTGTGTGTGTGTGTGTGTGTGTGTGTGTGTGTGTGTGTGTGTGTGTGTGTGTGTGTACGTACTGAAAAATATCCCAAGTGTCCTTCATATCTGCCCTCTTAATCTCAAATTCATTTTCTTTCTTCAAATCACACCAAAACACACACAGACATGCACACACACACAGAATCTCATAACCTACTTGCTTTAGGCCGTTTTGGACAGTTTAAAGCTGCCACCCTTTATGGGTCAAATGTCATAATGAAGCAGGCTGACACGGATCATAAATTGAATCCCATGTGGGGACATTGTCTTTGAGCACATATGGTTCTTTGTTGGTATGAAGAATTTGTATCCGCTATTCTTTTGCCAATACCAGGATTAGGAATGATTAATCAATTAAGTTTTAAAAAGACATTAATGACGATTATATGTTCAAACATTACAAATGACTTAGTCTGGGTCAGATTTGTTGTTCGGAATTGCGAGTTGAAGAGTTGCAATTTTTATTTAAACTTACATAACAACTTTTGGTGCCAATTGTACTCAGCTCAGCTGTAGCTAATATGCTAATGAACATTGATTTCATGAGTTCCCCAAAGAAAAGTACCATAGAATGATTATGTCATTTTATGAAGCAATATTAAGTATTCTACTTATGTATTATCTTTAGGGCTGACACCATTTTGTATTATTGATTAATATGCCTGTTATTTCAAGACGTTATCAATGTATTATTTGGCGTATAATAAGTAAACAAATTGGGAAAAATCTGTTTCCTATTGTTTAACGTTAAGTTTTTAGATGTTTGTTTTGTCAGTCCGGTATACAAAACCAATTCAGTTTAATACTGTGTAAAACAGAGGATACTATGAAAGATGGTATAGTGAAAACTGCATTTTCTTCATTAAAGATTACTAAGGATTAATTGTTTATGAAAATAGTTAGCACATATTAATAATATTGCAGGACTTTGACAACAAGCAACTTCATTATTCCATCTGATGTTTTAAAGTTAAATTAAAAACCATTTCAGAATCAGAATACCTTTATTAGTCCCACGGAGGGGAAATGTGCGTAGTTACAGCAGGGAAAAGAGCCACTGACAGATTAATGTTGTGTATGTTAAATATGTGACATGCATTTAAAAAAAAAGTACTAAGTTATAATATAATTAAAATATATATATATATATATAATAACAAATAAAGTTACATAATTTAAAAAAATACACATCCTGTGATAAATTGAAAGTGCAATGTCTGTCAGAAAAAATAAAAAAACATTTGATTCAGCCATTACTCTTGGTGTTAGAAAGCAAGTTATTCTGTATGCGGTACTAAAATATGACTATATCTTTGTATTCAATGTGGAACATAGATTAAATAAGATAAAAGGCATTGAGAAAGTGTGAATAAAGATGTGTGTTCATAGCACTCTCACACATACATAAACACAAACACCTCCTCTACCCTTAGATTACTCATACATCAGCACAGGAGACCCTGTGGCCGCTGCGCTTCATGCTGATGCTGTTCAGCCAACCAATAAGCTCAGCCGACGCCGGCTTGCCCGTCTAGGATCACCGCTCTAGAACAAAGAGTCACTCAGCTCCTGTCAACAAGCCTTCTTCATTGACTCCCACGTTGCCGTACGATTAACGTAAACAACAGCAAGGACAACAAAAGCGTCCAGCAAAACAAAAACAAGTTTTGCTTCTTTGTTATCAGTGAGGCATCTGTGTAACATTTCTCAGACACTTGCACAAACCAACAAGTCAACAAGTGGCATCCTGTCCCTCGTAGAACAGGGGGGGCATTCGTTTGCCATACCGGGCAACGTGCCAAGCATCCAGATTCTTTGGAGCATGCCACCCGTTGCCAACCTGGGGGTGCCTGCTTTATTGTCCGTACAGCTGCTGCTCAAACAGGGCGGCATGCCCACAAAAACAACCCCCACTCCAAAATCTAAAGTAGTCAGCTCTACCTGATTAAACATTCAAATACATAGGGGGGAAGCACATCAATGCACATTAAAAGCCACACAGATGCACATGTGAATACACACCCGCCCCTCCTCCACATTTTATGGCTTGTTTTCGACCTCAGTGGGAATTAAGTGCTGAAAGAGACTTGACCATTGTGCTGGCTTCACTCTCCGCATCAACTGCACTCCTCCTGCCTGCGCCAGGGACTTTATTGACGGTATTGTGCAACAGCTTTTGGGAGTGCAGCACAGAATACACAAAAATGTGCAAATGACAAAATAATTGAACCCAAGTTTAGACTGCATATCCCATCACTCAAAGCTATGACATGTGTCTATATGGACAGAGCATTTGTCTTTGTTTTACCATGAACACTTTAAAGATGAACTACTATTTCATTTAGGATTTATGTTGCTGCTGTATCTGTAGATGGCAGCACACCCTCGCTATAGCTCACATAAAGGAAATGTGAGCAGTCCAGCATGTGTGGTCAGAAAGAGCAGCCCGTAAGTTCACCAATAACACACATGAATGCAGGCACAAAACCACACCGAAACGAAATAAACCAAAATGCATCCGTAAACAAGCCATAATTTGGTCACATGCATTCCTCAGTAACTGCCTCACTGTAAAAAACAAAACACACACACACACTACACTCACACACGCATACACAAACACTACACACATGCCAGAAACAGTGTTTTTATTCCTGGATTGCCTCACACAATGTTTTTCTGAGAGAGTATGTGACACCAAAGCTGACAAGTTGGAAATGAAGGCAATTAGGTCACTGCTAATTAGGAACCCACATCAGGAAAGAAATGTAGACATCATCAAAACTTCAAATTCTGTCTCTAATTTCAAAGCCAACCCTATCTATTTTTAACAGTTGTTAAACAATAATAACTCTGGTGTGAACAAAGCCATATATATTGAACTTGGTGACAAGCTGCATCATATTTGAATGAAAATGTCAAAAATATCATAAATAATTGAATGCAAACGTGTAATTAAATGCATGATTTCCCAAATGGTCTGTATTAAATGTTATATATAAATCATAAGCCTCTGTGCAAAAGCCCCGGACATCAGTCCAAAACGCTGCAGTCAGAGCGTGTTTGTTTGCCTCGGCTTACCCACCCACTTGCCCATAAACATTGCGCAGGCCCTATCAAGGCCTTTGTCCCATATCTCTGGTGTCGCCAAATGTCATGACAGTCCGTTATTTGATGCAATATGCAACTGAATTTGCATAATTTATAATCTGAATCATGCTGTTTTTGTCCAAACTTGTTATATTTGACATCAGTGAAAGCAGCAGCAGCGCCAGTGACACCGTTATCCACTCCGTGCAGGAAGCGGTTAATGCTGCAAAAAAAACGCACAACAAAAACAGTGAAGGCGCTTTTTTGCCAGCCGGGGCGCTACTCACACACCTTCAAGCTGGACTTGAGCGGTCCTTTGGCTGCAGTGTTGTTGAAGCCCGCGGCTATCTCTTCCTCGGAGAACTCCTTGAGGCTCCCGTCCTGCAGGAGCACGGTGTAGACGCTGCACCGGGATCCTGCGGTCGACACGTCTCTGTTTTCCTGCTTGACAGCCTGGACCACTCCTGTCACCGGGGCACCGTCCCCCGTCAGACTCGGCGCATAAACGCGGCTGCCGAGGATCGACCGCTTCACCAAACGCCTCGTATGCATGTTTAAAAGTGTCCCACTGAATTCGGAGCCGGTGAACCGGTGAATTTAAAGCATTAGACGTCGAATTATAACCGGTAAACAACGTCGAGAAAAACACGAAACCGCAACGGGTATACTATCCAACAGCCCTGGTAAAATGTTAGAAAGCTGCCACATACTCAGAGAGCGAAGACTCCCAACAGCGTCTTAAATGAACCTTACTCAAAAGCACCGAAAACTGGAAGAGAACTTAGAATTAGCACCCGACAAAAGCCGACAACACAACACGATTCATTCGCCGTTAAACAACCTCCACAGCCAACCGGCTACCAACCTTCCTGTCTCTTCGACCTGTTTGTTTTCGCCACTGCTCCCTGCGAGCTCGTGGTGTGGCGGGAAAACACGGACTCAGAACTCCACGCAGGACACGACGTTACGTTTGTACACGATCTAACAAATATGTGGTTTATTCGTGAGTTTACGACATGGACACTGAATAGCAGAAGCAAACACATCGAATAAAATCACTTCTCTGTAGCCTTATCCACTGACTTTCCTACGTAGATGCTGTTAATGGTCGAAAACACGGCGGTTGCGTGACTCCGGATCCGGCTACTGTTAGCTCCAGTCCGGGCTTTGCTCCGACCGAGCAGAGCCTTTACCGGCGGAATGCTGCCTGTAAACATGTGCGGTCCGGCGGCCAAGGCGGGCTGCTATAGGTCGGAACAGCACACGCCTCCACAGGCCCCCCCACCGCTCCCCCCGATCCGCCAACAGAAGGTAATGCAAGCCGGCGGGAGGATGCTCAATTCAAAACAATGACGCAAGGATGGAGAGGAAGCGAGAGGGGAGGCGGTAAGGCAGAAGGAAAGAAAGGGGAATTTAGGCTTTCGGAAAGGAAAACTTTGACCAGACAGACAGGCTTTATGCAGTAACCTAGTTGTGAAACGCATGTAGCCTACTTTTCAAGTCCCATGGGATTTCTAAATTACTATGATCTGGTTTTGAGATATAAGTAATGGCCTGCAGTGGGATTTTTGAGGGGAGTTTAAAACAACAGGTTTCTTTATTTCTCATGAGGTCGTCATTACCTAACAAGTGAGTTTTATTCTACTCAAGGTCCTGGGCTAAACATGTGCCAAAATACACCGCCCTGTACATTTACACAGGCAAGAGCCAACCAAATCTTTGTCAACCAACCCCATCAGATAACTTAGACAAACAATGCTTTAAAGTGCTTGAAGCAAAAATGCAAAAATGTATCAAGTGCAAATGTATAATGTGGAGGTCAGTCTTTCCAGAAGTACTGTTTAGTTCTTATTTTAATCTTTTAACTACCTTTAGCTACCTACCTTGTTTGTATGTTCTCATTAATGTAGACCATTACGTGTAAACTGTAATACAGGTATTTAATGCCATTGGGTAATGCTAAATATAAGCCATCAGTAATATTGCTCTTTTAACTGAGCTTTTCATCTCATCACAACAACACTCACAGGCAGCTCACACGAATGTAAGCTACACCCTGGACACATTAAGAAATAGTGTGATCTCACAATGTGACCTATTTCTTTTTGCTCTCTGAGAAAGACATGTACAATACAGTGATGCAAATTAGTCGTTTTTCGGCGCCTCCCGCTTTTTTAACGCTGCTTTGGGTGACTTGTGTAATTCGGTCCGTCAGTCCGTCCGTTAGTCCGTCCGACTGACGGACAACTTCTCACTTCAAAAATGAAGAAGAAATCTAGATCGCAAAATAACTAAACAAGCGAGTGCCTGTTTTTCCTGGCCAAGGACAGGTTCCTTGAACACAACACGAGCGTAACGTGTCTTCACTTGGTTATGTCTCGTCTGAAAGGAGTGTAGACTAGAGTGCTTACGGAAAGCACCGGAACGCCGCTCCAGCTCTTCAAATATTGCAGTACCCATAAGGAGCCGTACACATGCCGCAGTGTTTGCGTGGCTGTGTCTTTAGTTGTAAGCACAGTGGCGATCTGTTGTTATTAGCATCTGGTTAGCTAGCTATGCTAACGAATTTAAAGAGCTTTTCTACAACCAGGTGGAAGAGCTCTCTCTCCTGAGAGGCTCAAATAACCTCAGCTCAGTGAGGTTAAGGCACACCTTGATACATTATAGTTATTAATGAGACTAAATGAAAAACAGATATAAAATACTATATGACAGTAACAAAAAAGTTGTTAAAAATAAGTGATTTGTAAAATATCCAAAAAGAAAAATCTGCTTACAGTTCTGTTTCAAATGGGTGTTGAGAGATGTATCCATAGATCTCCTCATGTTGCTCTGAAAGTGCACCAGATTTATGCTTTTAACTTCAATATTTAAAAAAAAAATCTTCCCGGGGGATCATGCCCCCGGACCCCCCTAGAGGAGGTTAGGTCCCCCCCACTTAAATCATGTTCACATGGATACTAAATACATTTGCACACATCTTTTGTCCATATCTTTCTGTTTATGTGGTCATGCCACACCGTGCACATGCATGCAGTTCTCTCTTTTTTCACCATACCTGTGTTTGCATCACTAACAATATATGCTATGGAAATGTTTCTTCTCATTAGAAAGTTCAGTAAGTGATGAATCAAATGTAACAGGAGACTAATGATTTCGTCCTGATCATTTCCCATTGTGGCAGAGAGAATATACAAACCCATGTTACTTACAAATGGCCTCATTAATGTCAACTGTAATCTTTTAAGAAAATCATATGCAGCTGACAATCTTTCTACATGACAGCACCCCCATTGAATAAAGGACACAATGACACTTTTTATTATATATATATTTTAATAGAACAATTCATGTCATAAAATATTTACATGCAGAAAATGGACAGAGGGGAGTGACAGATATGAACATCATTTTTCAAAATCATCAAAGGCAGGTGTAACTATACAGTCATCTGATGGTTGCAGGGGAAAAAATGATCTCATTATGGGAGTAGTAGAGAGGAGGGAGAGGCAGCAGGGGGGCATCTCTGAACCTCCACCACTCCCCAATTCTCTGAAGGGAGTGTCTGTGTTTGTAGGACCAATATAGACAGCAAGAGAAAATGAGTGATTTTAGTTAATTGCCTTTAAGCCTGAGTGCGTATGTGTGTGTGTTGCCCTGGTATGATTTGGCTCTAAAGCCCCCCTTTGACAGATAATTTCCTTTAAGGTCATTCATAGCATTTTTTGAATTTCATTATATCTCACCCTCATACACAGCAAAATCACTTGGTATGAAGATCATACTCCATTTTGGGAGTGTTAATGGCATGACAATTATCTCTTTTTTAAGGGCTTCATTCACTCATTTTCATGTGGATTGCATTTTAAATCATCTTTAACTGAAGCATTGCTCGGGGATGTTAAAGCATTTCCAATTTCTGATACAACTCATGAATCCAATATCAGTCTGGGTGGGCTAGCTGTCTGTCCAAACCACAAACAAGCTCTTACATGTATAATAAAACATGAACTAAAGCTGGAGATGCTTTAATGTTTTAATATTTTCATTCGGGTGCAACAGACGACACCAATTATTTTCTGCAAAGACGGAAGATACTGTAGCAGTAAAATAGATATTTACAGCAAAGAAAAATTGGCCCTGTTAAATTTGAAAACAAACACCAAACAACAGTTATGACACATTAATTCATTTTTTAAAATAAAGTACCACACTCACTGTTTCTCAAAATGCATGTACCAAAACATTGTACCATATTTCTCATATTCGATTGGTTACTACTTCTCAACACTCAGAAGCTATTTGGCAAATTGAGTTACTATAAGATAAAAAGTGCCTTTGTTTTCCTTTAAACAAGGCAGACATCGATCAGTGCTCTTAACAGACTTATTTCAAAAATAATAACACTCTGGACATTGTACAAATAGGTAAAAACTCACATAAAACATCCAGCGAATAACAGTTGGTTAAAATAGTGCTCTAAATATATACAAGCCTTGGTTGGCATGTCGTCAGTACAAGCTACAAACAGAAAGATATGTTTTTTTTTTATCATAGTGCTACTTAGTTAAAAAGCTTTAGATATTCAAATTGTGCAGAATGAAGCAAGATTGTGATGATGCTTTTGAATATTTAAATGCAGTACCATGATATTAAACCTTGTGCTTAAAATCATCAGGGATGCCAACTGAAGGCTGTATACTGTACCAAGAGCAGGCTCAATAGACTAACAAAACAGTACAGTTGATCAATACATCTGCATCAATAATGCACGTTTTTGTGTCATTTCAAAAACTCTTTTGAATTAGTTTTGAGCCTTGTGCAAAATGACAAAAAATGAAATATCTACTCATCATACATATTGTTTTAAAACAAAAAAGTCAGGGTCAAATGTACCTTTACAACTGTTGTGACTTTACAACCTCCTTTAATCTAATATCATTCAAAATTCTAGAAACTTCCAGAAAACCCTTTTTTACTTTGCGCTCACAGACTCTGTAACATTTCACAATCACACAACAATACGCATCTTCAAATAAATATGAAATTCACAAACAAAAGGTTGCCATTGGCTGTGATACGTCTAAAATGCTTTCAAAATGTATTGGGACACCTCAAGCTCATTTCAGATCACTTTCCTTTCCTCATCAAAAAGTCTTCATTTCTATTGAGTGCCGTAATCTATGGACTTGTTTTAACTAACCATGTGGTCACAGATACTTCTGGCTTTTGCTTTGAATGCCTAAAACATGAATTTCAAGCAGAGAAAGCAAAGTGGAGGAGCTGCTGAACCTGACAAAGAATAGAAACACGTCTGACACCTCAATATAACATGACACTGAGTCACCTAGAAGAAAGCCGCTAGCAGCTGCAGAGGAGAAACCATGATGCCTTCATATGTACAGTAAGTGCATGACTTTTCATGATTATATGGAACTGAATTATTGGATTTCTTTTTGTTATATCACAGGCACTGATAGTGTCCTCTTCCTATCCTTAAAAAGACGTGTGTTTTTTGATTTGATATTCATTTGATCTTTTCCCACAAATGTGGTTTAATGTGCCCACGATATGCACTGTCAAAAAGACAAAAGATGAATTCAATGATGCACTCATCCACATGATTAACAACCGATGACTGAGGCACTACTGTTCATTTCCTATGAGGCCTACCAGTACCAATGACATTCACCGTGGCTGATCAATTAAAAGTTCACTTGTGATAAACCGTACCCGAGCTGTAAAGAGGACACTGATGCATTGTTGATGGATGCTGTGTCTGCCATTTCCCCCAGAGCATGCACCAGTAGCATGCTTCGTAGCAGGTTCAAAGCACTGCAGTGACGTCTGTGAGGAAGTTTTCTCCCACGATGAAGAGGGGGAACACTCAGAGGCGGGACGTTTCCCGGCTTAGCCCCATCTCTCCGACACTCTCGTAGTCAGGCTCTGGCTGTGCAGCGTCTGAACCCTCCGCCCTGGGGTCATCATCCGAGCTACTAGTCTTTGGGATGCGGATGGTTTCGTAGCCAGGGTCTGTGCCGTCCATGCCGGGCTCTTCATCCTGCTCGGGCTCATCGGGCTGGGCGTAGATATCTCGGACCGTGGCGTAGAGGTCGCTGGAGGAAGAGGCGGGGACGAGACCTTTGAGCTCTGCGATGCTGCTGTAGTCGTGCTCTTTGTC